AGAGTATCCACTGAACGCAAACAGCGTATGTTGTTCTGTGTCAGCCGCACCACACGGATACGTTGTTTTACATTCAAATCAAAGCACAAACAACGTAGAAAATTTATCCGCGTGGCGCAGCTGACACAGAATAGCATACGCTGGATACTCTCCAAAATGGCACTAGGGTGATGCGGAGGAGACGAATTGATGAATAAAGTTGTTATTTTTTTCCTTTTGTGCACAAAAAGTATTCTCGTAGCTTCGTAAAATTACAGTTGAACCCCTGATGTCACATTAATTATTTTACCGATCTCCTTGCTACGTTTCTGGATGTTGACCGTGTAAGGACCCTTGCTGTCTATGGGAGGGTCAGAGAGCTCTCAGAATTCATCAAAAATATCTTAATTTGTGTTCCGAAGATGAACGGAGGTCTTACGGGTTTAGAATGACATGAGGGTGAGTAATTAATGACAGAATTTAATTTTTTGGGTGAACTAACCCTTTAACCTTGATAAATTGTTTTGTTCCACAATCTGTGGGTGTTCAAAGCAAAAAGGGCATGACTTTATCAGAAGTGTGTATTATATTTTAATTTTAACATTTATTTGGAGAATGAACATGGGCTTACTTTGCATTCTTAGCCTATACACATCCTAAAATGATCACTTATGTCATTTCTTATATATTTATAGCATATATATATAGTGCATATATTTGTATATAGTGTGTATATTCAGTCTGCCCTCACCACATAGTTTGTCCTCATTTACTGATCCTCGTGTTGCAAACCTAACATACACTACCATTCAAAAGTTTGGGATTTATTTGATTTTTATCACTTTATTTGATTAAAGTTTATTTTTATTTGATTTCATTATGCTGCATTTATTTGATCAAAAGTACAGTTATGACTTCAAATGAAGAAAAGCAGGATCCACACTCGCTTGTATGCTTCTTAATGATTTTTGGATTTTTTTTTTATTTTGCAAAAAGCACAAATGGATCACCAATTGTTTTGGCATTAGGCCTTCCTCTGTGAATTAATCAATAATACTTTCACAAATAGTTCATTTTAAAAGAATTGGGACTACGGATCATCACGTGGGAACTCTCATTACAGGTGCATCTTATCACAAGTGTTAGCAATTTCCAAGCCAATATCCTGCTTTTTTCATTTGAAGTCATTACCCTAAGTGTTGGCTGAATACATCAAAAACTGTAATATTGTGATAAAATACACCTTTTATATTTTAAACATGTTTTAATATTTCCTCTGATTGGAAACTTGAATTTTCGTTGCGCTACGCTGATACGTATCAAATGAAAGAGAAAGCAACGTAAACGCGTGGCACAGCTGACACAGAACAGCATATGCCGTTTACATTCAGTGGATACTCTCCAAAATGGCACTAGGGTGATGCGGAGGAGACGAATTGATGAATAAAGTTGTTATTTTTTTCCTTTTGTGCACAAAAAGTATTCTCGTAGCTTCGTAAAATTACAGTTGAACCCCTGATGTCACATTAATTATTTTACCGATCTCCTTGCTACGTTTCTGGATGTTGACCGTGTAAGGACCCTTGCTGTCTATGGGAGGGTCAGAGAGCTCTCAGAATTCATCAAAAATATCTTAATTTGTGTTCCGAAGATGAACGGAGGTCTTACGGGTTTAGAATGACATGAGGGTGAGTAATTAATGACAGAATTTAATTTTTTGGGTGAACTAACCCTTTAACCTTGATAAATTGTTTTGTTCCACAATCTGTGGGTGTTCAAAGCAAAAAGGGCATGACTTTATCAGAAGTGTGTATTATATTTTAATTTTAACATTTATTTGGAGAATGAACATGGGCTTACTTTGCATTCTTAGCCTATACACATCCTAAAATGATCACTTATGTCATTTCTTATATATTTATAGCATATATATATAGTGCATATATTTGTATATAGTGTGTATATTCAGTCTGCCCTCACCACATAGTTTGTCCTCATTTACTGATCCTCGTGTTGCAAACCTAACATACACTACCATTCAAAAGTTTGGGATTTATTTGATTTTTATCACTTTATTTGATTAAAGTTTATTTTTATTTGATTTCATTATGCTGCATTTATTTGATCAAAAGTACAGTTATGACTTCAAATGAAGAAAAGCAGGATCCACACTCGCTTGTATGCTTCTTAATGATTTTTGGATTTTTTTTTTATTTTGCAAAAAGCACAAATGGATCACCAATTGTTTTGGCATTAGGCCTTCCTCTGTGAATTAATCAATAATACTTTCACAAATAGTTCATTTTAAAAGAATTGGGACTACGGATCATCACGTGGGAACTCTCATTACAGGTGCATCTTATCACAAGTGTTAGCAATTTCCAAGCCAATATCCTGCTTTTTTCATTTGAAGTCATTACCCTAAGTGTTGGCTGAATACATCAAAAACTGTAATATTGTGATAAAATACACCTTTTATATTTTAAACATGTTTTAATATTTCCTCTGATTGGAAACTTGAATTTTCAGCAGCCATTACTTCAGTATTCAGTGTCACATGATCCTTCAGAAAAATTTTAATATGCTGATTTGGTGGTCAAAAACCATTTCTTATTATTATCCATGTCAAAAACAGTTGTGCTGCTTAATATTTTGGTGTAAACTGTGATCAATGTTTTTTTTATTTAATGCATCCTTGCTGAATAAAAAAAAAAATAACATATTTTTTTTTTTTACCTTTTAAATGATAGAGCAGTGGTTCCCAACCCTGGTCCTGGAGGCACCCCAACACTGCACATTCTGCATGTCTCCTTTCTCTGACACGCCAATTTCAGTTCTTGAAGTCTCTACTAATGAGCTGATGACCTGAATCAGGTGTGTTTGATTAAGGAGACATGCAAAACGTGCAGTCTTGGGGTGCCTCCAGGACCAGGGTTGGGAACCACTGTGATAGAGAAGTTTATCTAAGGAACACAAACCTACAAACACAAAACGTTTTCTTCATTACCATGGAACACAAGTTTTCCATGACGATATCAAGTAGAATGTCCAGGCTGCTTTTTTCATACATTGGAAATGACCAATGGAACCTGTCCCTGGCCTGGTCCCCACCCACATTTATCATAGGGAACAGAGCATCTTGCACATTCTGCCTAATAACTCTTTTTGTGTTCCATGCAAGAAAAAAGTAATACACGTTTGGAATGGGAATGTGAAAATGAATAGGTTACATGAATAATTCTGAAATCTATTCTTAGGTCACTTTGAGCTAAGCGTTTGGGTCTCACTGCGTTTCCACTGTCGGGCCAAAAGCAAGCGTCCTAAGTGTGTGCCAGGGCCAGTCACGTTTCCACTGTCGCTTCCGGGGCTTGATCGTGCCTCGTCAGGCCTTCCTCGGGGGCTAACGGCCAGGGATTTTTGGCCCGCCGAAAACCTTGGGCCAAAGTGGTCCAGCTCAGGCTTGAGGAGTGGTTATGAACAAAGGTGGAATTTCTCCACATCTGGAGAGCATCAGCACCACGAATGATTTCATATAGTTAACAGCTAACAGCAACATTAAAGACTTTTAAAATAAATTTAGCACAAACTCACTTTTTAAAAGCAGCGAGTGTTTGAAATAACCTCTGTTTGAGATGGGAAAATTATAGAAATGGACATTCTTTAAAAATGTGATGTATATGGTGACTACAAATAAACAGAAACAGACAACTGAATATGTATGTCCTCATTCTTTTGTGAAATAACAGTAAATACCACTTTACTTCTGTGTGACTAATTTTCAATCCTTTCAAATTAATTAATTATGATCAATGTATCACTTATTATTGTAAAACTGGTAAAATATTGACGCTTTTGGATTTAAATCTTTAAGTAAACAACAAAAAATGCAAACAAATGGCCGCTTTTATCACGTTCGTTTTGTGATCTCGCTATAGTTCCAGATTTATTCTGATAACTTCTCTTTGTTGGTAAAATTATGGGGTTGCATGACGTTGTTCCAAAGAGGCATGTAAAGGGCGTGGCTCGGTGCTCGGAGCTACAGGTCTGAGGCTATTGGCCCCGCCCGGCCCGTTTAAAGCACTAGCTTGCACTGGCCCCACAGTGGAAAAGCAGCTACTGATTACTAATAGTTTATGGCGAGTCTTCACACACCTCACAGCCAAGTCTGTAATTTCTAGGCTTGTAAGTATTAGATATCTATTTCCTTTTGGATTGCACAATAGGGAAAGAATGTGTCCCTAATTTCTGTATACATAATACACAAAGTGTCGCCTACTTGCTCTCTTTTTATTTTCTCTCTTACTGAATTCCTGAATGCCCGTGTGGGATGTGCCAATTGTTGCAATTTTAAGTGATCATTTTAAGTGAAAACAATAAAAGCTGTATTGGACACATGGTCAGAAGTATATTCATTCTATGGCAGCTTTTAATGCAGCTTTAATGACAGTTTATAGCTGCAATTTAAAGTTCTAATTAAAGTGATAAATGTCCTCTTTACATATGGTGAATATATTTAGCCGTTAATGCAATCCGAAGGCAGACTTTTGTTATAATGAGTGTGTTTATGTTACCCTCAGCAGCTCTCTTAAAGAACACTTTGCAACTTCCACAAGTGAGGGCTCCATAGTGACATCCAGATGCTTCGTCTGAGCAGATTAGGCATATCCTTTGTGGAGGAAGGAAAAACTCCATTGGGAAAACATCACTCCTCCCTCCATCAAACCTAAAAATAAAAACACAGCGTAAACTAATGGCATGACAAAACACTGACATAAATGTTCTGTTCTCTGTTATATCTGCAGAAGAAAACAAATATGCTACAAACATGGAACTTGTCCAAAAATATGAGGTTCATTATCAGTAATTTGAACAGAACATGCATACCAGCTTTCATCCAAACAAACACAGAAATGTAGCAGAAATGGGCGCGCATGTGTACATTCAGTTGATCGAGCAGAATAAAAATAGTGTAGATTGTAGCTGAATTTCTCTGAAGTTTTACATCGGTTGTCAAGTGTGAGGGTGCTAAATTAGAAATGTGCATGTCCAGCACTCAGTGATAACATTCCCTATGAAAATGCACAATTGAAAGCAGGTGCATGTGCCTGTCTGTGTGTGTCACTGGTTAAATTATGGTGGTAAGTAGAGGTGACATTATCCTAATGCAAGTGCCAGGTCTCTAATGAAGGGTAATAACTGCTTCATTCCTTGAGGAACGATGGAAAGATTCTGAGTTAAAGAGAGTCATTCAGCATGATTATTCTGTTCTGATGATGGCAGCCAATTCTGTCACCACACGCAGTGAGAAAGGAAAAGTGAACAAAATGACTGCGATTAGGACAAGGGCATATTTCTGATATTTTCTTGGCTGTCAAAAAGAAGTGGTCAAATGTTGTACATTATAATAACTTTTTGTAAAAGAAAGAGTCAAATAAAGAAATAGAGTACTCAGGCAATACATTGTGACAGTCCAGACCTACATAAAAAAAAATCTCATTGTCACATTTGTTTTCTATTTTCTCTCTCTGTTTTCAAATAAAGAAATAGAGAACTCAGGCAATACATTGTGACATCCAGACCTACACAAAAAAAAATTAAAAAAAAAAAAAAATCTCATTGTCACACTTCACTGAGTTTTACTTAGAAAAGTATTAACAAAATGTGCACAGTGTCTGTGATTTTTGGCAATAATGTAAGCATTTATTTGTGTGCCTTTCTTGTGAATTTTTTTTTTCTAAAAACAAAAGCAAGATATTTGATTAAAAAAAACAGACTTTAAAGTTATGTCCCTGCACTCAACCCTATCACACTAACCATTCTATGCCCATAATAATTTAGTCTCCACACTTATGTGACATCATTTACTAGAAATGACATCATTCAGGTCTCTTTAATGGGGATGCAGAAAATAGTTAGCGGTATCATACTTTTTATTCATATTTGTGAGGCATATTATAGTCAGGGAGGGTACTGCCCAGCTTAACATCTCAACCCCGTCACAAATATATGCATTTCTCATTGTTACGGAGTTGTAAACTTGTGACAGTGTTGAGTTATTTACTTCATTTATTAATACATTTTAATAAAAAAAAAAATATATATGTGTAAAATAGTCATGGTTTCAGTAAAAATATACCTATCAAAATCATAATATTTCTCTTATAACTAGAATTTGTGATGTAATATTTCCACTTTTATTGTTTTAGTCCTTAACATGTCAGATAGTGATCAGCAAGAAATGTTTTCATTCTTAATTGTCTTCCCTGTATTTTTCCAAAAATATTAATGTGACAAGGTGTGATGGGGTTGAAGACTGTAACACATTTGAAGGGATACATTGCCTTCAATTTTAATTTTTGGTTTTGTTTCTCTCATATTGTCCTTCTTATGGAGTCCTTTCAATTTCTGATGTATGACGCTTGTCAAAGTTTAAACTTCCAAATTAAAAATATTTTTTACAAAAATAATGAGACCATAGACACACAATTTGTGTATTTTAGCTTCAGTCCTATAAAATGTGAAAATTATGATAAATGTTGCATTTATTATCATTAAAATGCTATCAGGGACACATGAGCAGTAGGTAGATGTTTGTTTTATAACACGTTCTGTGTACATTTTTGGAATTTTTAATGAATTCCATTTTGTCCATTATGGAGTTGAGAAAAAAAGGTGTATAAATCTGAAAAAAAAGGCCTTTAATGCCGAGGGTGGGAAAACATGAATTTTTTGGAGGTTTGATATGTGCCTAATGATGTGGGGTATTTAAAAAAAAGAATCATATGTAGTTGAAAAAAATTTATATTCCAAGTTGAAATGCTACCGAATCCCAGGAATGACCCATAAATAAATAAAAAGCCTTGAAGTTGAAGGATTGCATAGCACAGAAATAAATAAAAAACTAATAATAATTCTGAATTTTCCCAACCTTCTTTGAGGTTTTCAGAACCTCAAATGGACTACATTCTTAACCACAGATCCAGATTGCCATCATTCCCTTACAGGTGAACTCAAGAAACTGAAGATTTTAGGGTCCTTCATTAGGCTGTAAACACATTCTGAGTCTATGTGTAAGGCGATGTGAAAAGTGTAACAGGTTTGTAGGTGAGGTGACAGTGTGTGTTTGCATGTGTGTCCTGTGATGTTTCCAGAAGTGATTAGGTGCACAGGTGATTTATTGGTCTCGGGTTAAGCTAACAACTCCCATTTGTCACTTCATCTGCACTTGCTGAAAAACAACTTCCTGGAAAGTCACACACAGGCACCGATCCCCTAACCACCAACAAGAATGGCTGAGCACCCATGGACAATAACTTTGACCAATCAAAAAAATAATTTGAGATTCAGCAACCTCTGTAATTGATGGAACACACAAATGGCTCTTTAGAGTGGCTATTTAAAGAACAGACTTTCAAATACAAACTTAATAATAATAAAAAATCTAAATTAAATTTTTTATTTGTTTATCATAAAATTATGAAAAAATACAATAAAAAAATATTAATTATTCCACTCGTGTGTTTTTTAATCAATTTACTCCAATGTATGTGCGTAGGGTGCTCTTTTAAATCCAGGTATACCAAAATCAGTAAAAAATCCAAAATATGCAGCAGAGCTGAAGAGGTTAGTGGAGTTTAGTTCGTTCCATTCCCAAAACCAGCCAGTAATCTTACAAAATGCAAGTGTCTAATCAGTCATTATTTATGATATTGACCTTCATTAATTTCATACTTTTGTGAATTGGTAATCTTTTCAAAACTAAATAATCAGACTGTACAGAGAGAATTTATGGGTTTGAGTGGTTTTCATTATCAGTAGCTCATATTTAGGCAATTGCATGGAGTACTACATGGCAGTATGCTTCAAAATCAGAAAAAAAAATTAGCAGAAAAAAATGAGCAAAATTAGCAATTTGTTAATCTCCTCTGTGAAAACATCTATAATTAATGCACAAGGGCTTCATTCAATATACTTGTGCATCTGCTAGGGGTTGCACGACTACTGATTTCTGCTAGTAGATTTCTTATTTAAAAAATACTCGAGCTACTCGACTACTCGTGGTTCATGCTACTGTAAATGAAAAGACATGAAATAGTTCTTATCAATAAACGCTTATTAATTCATAGCCTAATGCAACAATTACATATGTAAATTGTCTTTTTCTGTATCTTTTTTTTCATAGTTATCACTGAACAAGTATGCCGTGTTAAACTAAAATAATTATTAATTTCTAAAAAATATATTTATCATGCAAACAGAGAGATGGCAATGTCATGACAAACGTTTAGTGATCGTTTGAACACGACAGAATTAATTCAATGCGCACATTTTCATTACGCAGAACTCTATAAGCGAGTCTTTTTTTAACTTCACTAAACAAGCAAAAGATAAAGATGCAAACATGTAGGCCTAGTAGAAAATGTATCTGTATCTAAGTTGATTATTAGCCTACTCTTGAGAGAGAGCTGGTTTGGTCTTTGAGAGACTGAGATGCGCAACGCGGCTGTTTGATTGGTGAGCGCGCTGTGCTTATTCCAATCATTCGTATCATATCGTAGCCTAAGGTTTAAATCATTGCCTTTTAAATATATACAAATAAAAGAACGTGTATGGTGTATCATTACAGGTGATATTACTCTTGCCAAGCTCTGGTTTCTGAGAGATGCACGGAGAGGCAACAGTAATGCGGTGTTTGATTTGCGCTCTTTTCATTCATAAAGTTTACATTCATTCACTTAACACTCTATTGCGTGACTTTAGAGGTCTGTGTATAATATTGTGCTGATCCCCTGGCTCAACTGTTATCAAGCAAACACCAGACTGTGCCAGCCTCAGCCGAATATTCAGGCAGAATTATTCCTTGTCCGTTATTCTTTTTTTGAAGCCATTATCCGTGCCATTCCGAATAAGGTATTCGGCTTCGGGCACACCCCTAATTATTACTACATTACATATTTTAATTTTACATGCAACATAGATAAAGTCATAGAAAGTAACAGCTACACGCAATATTGAAATCCTAAAATTCACGTCGTACTTGCAAACTCTGTGCATGCATTATGGATAATGCATGCTCGAGTAGTCGATTGTTTCCGACAGCGCCGACTAGTGGTTGAAGTAGTCGATCACTCGACTAGACTATGCAAGCCCTAGCATCTGCTGATTTCATATTATGTGTGGATTACTTGGTTTTATTTGAAAAACAGAAGCATGCCAAATGGACTCCAATGTGAATCTCCGATTTCAACAGCTAATTAATGTGATATCCGGCCGGCCAATGTTAACTTAATTATAAGCAAAACAGAAAAAAAAAACATTATTTACACTGTTTGCATCTCCAAGGCGTCCTTTGCACATTTTTCTGTTAACATAAAATCTCTGACAACTTGACAGAGATTTCGTAGCCTGTCAGGGAAATTTTGACAGGAACAGAACCAGAAACACGGAATCAAACGAAATCAAATTTTATAGTTCCGAACAGAATCGAAAATTTGAAATGGCCATTAACCGGTTAATAACTTTATTTTATTGTTCCATTTAATATTTGAAGTTTGCTGTCAACCAATCACGAATTCAAGCAGTACGGCCTATGCAAATGTGAAGCCGAGACATCTAACGACTGAAATGCCCACGCTCAGCTGTGAACTCATCATAGGTAAGTCGCAAAGGCAATGCCCCGGCGTTAGAGTTTATCTGATTCAACAGATCACACGCACTTGCAGC